AGGCTCTTCCCCTGGGGGGGTCGCTAGCCGACACTGCCTGGCCGACGGCACCCTGAGGAAGCCAACTCTGTGGGATCGCACTGGACGGTGGGAGGCTACCGGTGGCAGTAGGTGGTCTCGCAGGTACCATGGACCTAAGCCATGGATTTGCATGGGCTGGATGATTGAGAATCTTCATAGACCTCTAGATGAGGATGGAGTCCACCTCTTTGTCTTTTCTGAACAGGGTTTGAGATGGAGACCGTGAGCCATGCTTAATCCCACCTTTTGGGACTCGCCTACAGCTTCCATCCCCTTTTGACGATTGTTGTTATCGAAGTCTGGCCTGACTCCTTGTGACCCCCATGGACCACAGCATGTCAACCCCATCCAGGGGTGGGATGCTACAGTTTTGCCCGAGTTTGGGAAGAACCCGTAGCTAATGTTATGACCGGTTTGGACAGCCTCCAAATCCCACCCCTGGCTACCCCTGCCCACACCCTTGAGTTGGCTTTTCGGAAGCTACCAAGAAAGGATACAAATAGTGACCATGTGACCCCAGGACAATGCAACCGTCATAAGTAACATGCCAGTTGCCAAGCCACCCCTATTTTGTATTCTGGGGATCCTTCAATGGTCATAAGTGTGAAAACTGTAAGATACTTTTTTTCAGGGTCGTCGTAACTTTGAAGAGTCGCTAAACAAATGTAAGGATTTACAGGGCTACCCGCACTTTTTGTTGTTGTTAAATTCTGGCCTGAATATTCTACAGTCTATTTGGCACCCTTAATAATGAGGGAGGGGGGAAACTTTGCACATGTCCATGTTCCAGTGAAAACCAGGCCTTCAAAATATTTCTGCTAAATGCTGACGTCAACGTGTTGCGTGCGCATTCAAAACGGTAATATGTGTGCAGAAAGTCCTCGGCGTAAAGTTTCCTAATGATGCCGTAACTGATTCATAATAATCGAGCCAATGTTTTAATACAGAAACCAGTGATTTATTGATAGCTTCATTAGGCAAGATTTATTCGCAGTTAAACCTTTGCTTTGTTTCATTTGCTTCTGAACTTTCCCCCTTGTTCCTTCCCTCCCCTCAGTCTGTGTCACAAATCACATTACCCAATAGGTATACCCCTCCCAACCCGGCAGCAGTAATCTGAGATCCCATTCCAGCCGACATTATGCGTGGAATGCACTCCCACTCATTCTGTCCCCACGACAACACGAAGAGTTGACTCTCGACTTACAACAGTTTGCTTAGTGACCCTTTGACGTTACCATGGCACGGAAAACAGTGACACGACTAATTTTCACAGTTATGGCCATTGCAGCTTCCCCGTGGTCACATGATAGAAATCCGGAGGTTTGACAACTGGCATGAACTTACGGCGGTTTTGTTATTCCCAAGATCATGTGATCCTCTTTTGCGACCTTCCGGCAAGCAAAGTCAACGGGAAATCCAGATTCCCACTGCAGCGATTCACTTAACAACGGTGGCGAGGAAGGTGGTCAAATGAGGCAAACCTCACTTAACAACTGTCTCGCTCAGCAATGGGAATTTTGGGCTCAACTGTGGTTGTACATTGAGGACTACCCATACGTTCAAAAGTGTGGTTATGTATTGTAAACACTTTTCTAAGTTTAGTAATGAGATGGTATGAGCCAAGGTGGCGCAGTGGTTAAATGCAGCACTGCAGGCTACTGCTAGATCAGCAGGTCAGCGGTTCAAATCTCACCGGCTCAG